CTTCTTCTTCTTCTTCTTCTTCTTCTTCTTCTTCTTCTTCTTCTTCTTCTTTCTTCTTTCTTCTTCCTCCTCCTCTTCTTTCCTTTTCTTCTTCCTCTTCTTCTTTCTTTTCCTCCTCCTCCTCCTCTTCTTCTTCCTCCCCCTTGCCCTTACCCCTCCTCCTCTTCCTCCTCCTGCTTCTTCTTCCTCCTCTTCTTCATCTTCCTCTTCCTCTTCTTCTTCCTCTTCCTCCTCCCCTTCTTTCTCTTCCTTGTCCTCCTCTTCCCCTTCCTCTTCCTTTTCTTCTTCCTCTTCTTCCTCTTCTCCTCCTCCTCCTCCTTCTATATTTCCTCAGCCAGACTAAGGATTCAAGGAAGTCCAAGAGGCAATAGGGGTGGGGGAGAAGATTAGAGATTTGGATTCTAAGACTTTTTCCAGCTCAGCCTGTCCAAATGCCACTTTTCAGCGTACAGTTTCCTGGGCTCCAGCACAGTGCCTTGACCCTGGAAGACTAAGGCATGTATTTCACAGTAATGCAGTGATTAAAATCAGATTAAATAAGGCCACCAGAATAACTCCTGGAGAGGAAAAGGAGTCCCATAGGGTGCTTGCTGCCCTGGAGTTGTGGAATACAACTGGGGAGGGTCTTTGTTTCATTTTTGATGATGGTGGTGCTGATGGTGATCGTGGTGGTGGTGATGGTGGTGACAGTGATGACTGACAGTGGATGGTGTGGATTTACCAGTTTGTGCTTTGGATATTTTCTTGATTTTTTAATGCCTAAAGGGACCCTCTGTGCACTGCCCCTACCCTACTCTGTGCCATGGCTGCTCACCTTTCACCATTCATGCTAAGCAACGCCAAAGGAATTATGATGGACTCCTTGGTGGATACCTTGGTTTTCAAACAAAGCAGAAATGAGCAGTGATTTTCAGGGGAACAAAGAAATGTGGTTCAGAGGAGGCAGGAAAGTAGCGTGAAGCCATGTTAACTAACCTTTCCCCCACTGCTGTTTCTTCAGGCAGGTCCCCACACCCAGGGAGAGCAGAACTTAGGTCCTAGTTGCTCTAGTGTTCATGAACAAAACACTTGGTGCAGCCACCTGTCACATTCATATTCCCAGAGAGAAGCAATGGTGTGAGTGAGCTAGATTCCCAGATGGTCATTTCCATCTTCTTGTGAACATATTTTCTAGCTTTCTTTTTTTTTAAAAGTATATGTGCTGCCTGAAGCAAGCACTAACTTTCTTTCTTTCTTCTTCTCTTTTTTGGGGGGGTTGTGGTACCAGGGATTGAACTTGGGTCCTTGAGCTTGTGATGCAGGCATCAGAACCACTGAGCTAAACCCTAGCTTTCTTGATATTATAGTGAACTTGTGTTTCTTACTATGCTTGGATTACACAAAGTTGTATTTCCTGAGATTTCAAAGATTGAAGCAGGAAACAATCAATGACACTGGGCCCAGGGGTAAGAAATATCTTGGGTGTGTTTGTGAGGATGATTGAATCAGGGACTTGGAGAAGGAGTCTTAGTGGCTTCAGAGGAGGAAAAGAGAAGACAACCAAGCCCAAGTTTGTCTACTGTTTATTGCATACTTTTTTGTTTTCAGTACTGGATTGAACCAAGGCCTTTGAGTGAGATTCATTCCTACCCTTTTTTATTTGGGACAGAGTCTCACTTTAGTCCTTGGCCAAGCTGGGCTTGAACTTTTGGAACTTTTGATTCTCCTGCTTTAGCCTCCTAGAGTGCTGAGATTATAGGCATGCAGCACTGAACCTGGCTCATACTTTTTATTCCTTTTGAAAATATTTTGGGGAAAAGTCAAATATTAAAATAAGAATTGACTGAAGAGGTTGGTTTGTGATGTTTCATAGAGAGCCTAGGAAAGAGGTTGGAACTTGCTCACAGATGCTCTTTGATTTGGGCCGTTTGCTCTTCTGGCTTTTTCTTGATCTTTCAATTTCAGATCACTTGACTTTGTTAAAAATTGTTTTTCTGATAAAACTTCAATCCTCCATTACTTGAATTGTTCCTGTTGGCTTCTTCAGAGAACTGAGCTCTTCTCAGGTTTTGAGGGGGCCCCAGAGAGCTTAGAACCAAAAGAGCTCGCTCTGGATCTTTGCTGTTGGTTGTCAAGTGGGATTAGAGAAGAGGTTCCTGTCTTTGGAAGCCAGAGGCACCCCTGGCTGGCCAAACTGGTTGATGATCTTTGTACACCAAGCATAGAAACATATTAAAAAGCTTATCAATATCTTCCAGATCTTGGTGTTTTCTTTTTTGGGTATTGGATTTGGGATTTATTTTTCTTGGTCCTGATCTATGGTGACATCAAGTTGTTCTCCCCAAGCACAACTTACTGTAGCAGCCCAGAATGAAAGAGTTGGCAGAGTTGCAAAGGGCTCAGCCTTCTCATTTCATCTCCCTCCCCAAAGCACAGATCCCATCTCTTATCTATGATCTCACTGAGACCTGGAAGCCTTGGAAAAATTGGGTCTCAAATCTCCATCTCCTGACTTCTTACTCCCTGATATTTAGACTTTCCTGTGGGTGAACGATGTATCCAAAGTTGAATGTCAGTCTATTGTGATCCTATGTCAGTCCTCTAAGCTGAGAGAATCAGAACAAAGGAGGGGGCAGGCAGGAGACTTGGAGGAGGCCTGGGTGGTATCACTTCAAACCTCAAATAGAGCAGTAGGGCTGGGGATTTAGCTCAGTGATTCCACCACCTGCCTCACAAGCGCAAGGTCCCAAGTTTGGTCCCCAGTACCAAAAAATAAAACAAAACAACAAACAAACAAACGAAAAACAAAACCCCCAAAACAAAAAATTGATTCACTCAAATAGAGCAGTAGCTTGAGCACTTAGAAGAAGCCAATAGTCTCTAAAGGGGTCATAAACTTTTGGTCCTGAAATGAGGTTGCAGCCAAATGCAATGGGCTTTAACTTCTCTACGAAAGAGGCTGAGTGATAGGGAGCATCAGACAGGTTAGTGGGCAGACATTGCCTGACAGTAATCTCATTTGTTCCCCTAATGGCAAAATAGAGCTGAGACCAAGAGGGCTGGATATCTACAGCTTCTGGGTTTTTTTCTTTTTTTCTTTTTCTTCTTTTTTAGCTGCCTTAGTTAATCCAATACATCCCAGGCCTGGCATGTCTCAGAACCTGGGACCTAGTAGAGGCTCAGAGCCAGGAGGAGACACTTTCTGCCTTCCAGAAACTTTTAGCTTGATCCAGGTTCCAGACATACCCTCTGAGCCACAGAGCAGGATCAGAAACCCTCAGGTTCCTAGAGCTTTGTGTGTGTATGTGTAGACAGGGAGAGCAAAGAAGACTGTTGAGCAAAGGTCAGTGAGAGGAGGGGAATGGATTGGCTCATGTGTCCCTAGAGGATGGTAGAGAGAGTAGTCCTTGGAGCCTCAGAGGGTGAACTTGTCCCCTTGGGGTGGTGTCCATGTCTGGGAGGGTCCTTGCTGGGTGGAGGAGTTGGACAGAGCTGGTGAATAGCTGAGAAAGAGGTGATGGGGGGAGCTGCCCTAGTATAAGAGGCCCTCACTTGTGCTAGAAAATGATTTGAACTTGGAGGAAGTGCATTTGGAGCAGGGTTCTGGCTGCTGAGCTGAGAAGACCAAGGAGGAAGAGTTTAGGAGAGCTGGGACTGTGGTCCAGGCCTACATGGACTGAGGACCAAGTGGAATCAGTCTATGGAATGGGACAGGAAGAGGTGGGGCTATTAGGGAAGCACTGAATAGAGCTGGACTACAATTGATGAGCTGGTGCTGGGGAAGAAGGAAGCAGAGACACTGTAGCTGACAAGACCACATAATATTGCATCGCAGCAGCATTTATTGAAACAACAGATTGGAACAACCCAGAAGACAAGGTACCCACAAACATAACCAGAGGGAAACCCGGGAAATGGCCTAATGTTCTCTACCCCATCAGCTCTGCATTGGACAGTACCCTCCTGCACCTGGCAGAGGGACATTTGGAGCAACTGTGGAGTCTTTGAAATGTATAAATGTGCACCGGGTAGCAAGACCTTCAAAGTCCCCTAACCCAGAGGCTGTAGGCAAAAGGATTCTCATGACAATGGGCCGCTCACTGCAGATCACATAAGGAGTCTGGCTGGAGCAGGGTCACCCAGAGGAAGGCAGGCAGAGAGACAGGCAAACTCAGCCAACAATGAACTGTCAGTGCTGGCCATCTGCTGGGGGAAGGGGACACTTCTCTGATTCTCAGACTGTTGGAACCCTGGCTAGGTGGTTAGGATCATGGCTTGAACCAGGGAAGGCCAAGGACTGTCCAGCCACCCCAGGTGACCAATAGTGTTCCAGAGAGCCTTGTGAATCACATACAGGGGTCTGGAGCCAAAGTTGGAGCTAAGCAAAGGGCTGGGAGTGACCCTTTTACTGAAGTGGAGAGAACTAGGGAGCAGCTCCCTAAGATGAGAAGGTGGGGGAGAGTGGCCCAAGGGTTTTTCCCTCTGTAGGAACATCTGGAAGATTCTGGAAGCAAGCACACATTTTCCATTCACACATCACTCAGTGCCAGGCAGTCAGAGGCAGGGCAGGTGACTTGGCAAGAGGCCCCCGCCCTACGCAAAGCGCACCGACCGGCTGCTCCCACAGCTGAAGCTGGAGGAACGGGGCTGACAGGGGCTGCAGGAGTCAGGGGCCATCACCGTGATGCTCCCCCCAGTGGCAGAGGGGCCTGAGGAGATCTGGCGCCCTGGGGTGGTGCCAAACGTGAGGCCCCCACAGGTGATGCCACCACGGGAGCTACTGACACCTGTGGAGAAAGGCAGACACACAGGGTGAGGAGCTTGCTGGGGTCTCCCCCACCCTGCGACAGCCCCTGGGGCATCACATTATAGGAGTTGCCTCCTCCGTTGGTCGTCCATGACTTGGGCCTGGTGCCTGAGCCTCAGAGCCTATCTAGAAGGAAGCAAGGACTGCAGCACCCATTTCCATGGCCTGCAGTTCACTGTGGCTGCCAGTTAGGGGCACTCAACTCTGCCTTCTCTTTCTCTCTTGGTGTCTCCCATGAGGAGCCCGGAGGACCAAAGGCGCTTGTCAGTGGAAGAACATTCCCAGTTTGATGGATTATGGCAGTGGGTTTAGCTTCATCTACCAGCAAAGCCATTGTCTGGGGGAATTTCAAGCAGATACTTACAGACATTCACGGAGCCCACGCCCTCGCACAGCCTGGGAAAAAGAAACTCCATTAGTTCTGGGGCCTAAACTGGACTCCTTGAGACAGATGGTTGTCTGAGGACAGAGAGGGTCATCCTGTGTTCTGCGTACATAGTCATGAAGGGCTCCCTCAAATCTGCATTAAATGTGCTCCTTCTTTTGTGGCTCTACCCATGGACACCACCCCTTCTGATTCCCGTCTGTAGGGATGAGATCATGGTGTCCGCATGCTGCCCCAGACCTGTGCTCCCCCAGCTCCCAGTGCCAGTGGCACTCAGAGGCAGGATGGTGGAACCAAGCTTTCCAGGGTGTGTGATGAGGCTCAGGTCTGAAGCAGACAGAGCTACTTGCGTATGGGCTGCATCATCAGTATTGTGCACAGGTGGCAGGTGCAGCCCCATACAGAAGCTGTGCGACAAGAATTGGTTGTAGAGGTTCAGGACTTGGGTACAGGTCCCAGCTCTTCTGCTTAGTAACTGTAACTATAGGCAAGGCACTGAACTCTGAGCCTGTTTCTGTATCTTTGGATGGAGAGAAAGAGTACCTACCTCATTGGGCTGTGAGGATTATAAAATGAATACCGAGCGCAGAGGCAGCATTTGATGGCTTATTATTACTTTTGGAGCCCGTACTAGCCTGGTTAGCATTGCTGGTCACACTGGTGCTCAAGATGGGTCACTCAAAGGAACAGGGACCCATGTTCTCCCATCCAAGCACTCACTAGACCCAGCTCTGCTTACCTGCTAGGATGGTTCTAGATTGGACCACCCCTTCCACCCCTCGAAGGTCCTTCTTAGCCTCACCTGTGCTCCTCGCCCTCTAGCAGGCGCCTGTAGGTGGCGATCTCGATGTCCAGGCCCAGCTTGGAGTTCATGACCTCCTGGTACTCCTTGAGCAGGCAGGCCATGTCCTGCTTGGCCTTCTGCAGGGCGCCCTCCAGCTCAGCCAGCTTGCAGCGGGCATCGTTGAGGGCCGCCTCTCCCTGCTGCTCTGCCTCGGCCACAGCAGCCTCCAGTTTGGCACGCTATGGGGTGGAGACATGAAGGTAAGATGAGAGAAAGCAGAGACTGGCTCACCCAAGCAGAAGGGTGAGGGTGCAGGGATAGAGAAGGTTGGGTCCATGACTGGTAGCTAGCAAGGCTGTGGACACGAGGGAGGCAATGGGCAGGCTTTTCAACATCTCTCCCTCTTGGTGGTTGCAGGGCTGCCAAAGAAAGGTTCCATTGTTCGTTGTAAGTCACTGTTAGGGCTCAGCTATTCTCAAGTGCTGTGTGCTAGTGGGGAGCCCCTGCCCTTTGCCTGGGTCCCTGTTTCCTGACTGTGCATCAAAGGGCCTGGTGTTACATACCACCTGTGTGGGTATTTGAGTCTTCTCTGTAACCTGCCTGGCACTTGGCGTTCTCTATCTCAGCTGTCAGCCTCTGGATGATTCGGTTCAGCTCATTGATCTCCTCCTTGGTGCGGCGCAGGGTCTCCCCATGCCGGATCACTGTGGCCTTCATCTCTTCACACTGCAGAGAGCAGAGGTGCTCATGAGGTTCAGTATGGGACATAACAGTCCTTTGGACCACTTCCAATGATTGTGCGGTTGTACAGTGCTCAGCTTGTGCAACCACACATGGCAACCCTGCCCTGTTACTTCAACCTGAGAGCTGTCAGCCCTTCTCTGATCATTTTTTAGGGATTGAACTCTGGACCTTGCACTTGCAAGGCAGGCTAGGCACCACTGAGCTAAATCTCCAGCCCCCTTCTTTTATCATCTTTAGGGTAGAAGAACCTTTTGCTAATAGACTCTTTCACTTTCCTCTTGTTGCTATGCCTAAGAGGTAGGGGTCCCGAGCCATTCACCTTGGTGCGGTACCAGGACTCAGCTTCTGCCCGGGTGCGGCTGGCAACATCATCATACTGAGCCTTGATCTCAGCAACGACACAGTCCATGTTCAGGTCCCGGCTGTTGTCCATCTTGACAATCACTGAAGTGTCTGAGATGTGGGCTTGAAGAACACGAATCTCCTGTGGGTCCAAAAACCAGTGCATGTGAGTCTGGTGTCTGATGTGGGCCATGTTTGCCAGCTCTGGGGACATGCTCATTCCCTGGGGGACACTGGCCAGAAATGTCACACGATTGCTGCCCCTACTACCTTAATTCATGCACAGGTCTGATACAAAACAGCAGAGCTCTAGAGTGCCCTGGACCTCGTCTGAGGACAGCCTGAGATGTGACATGGACAAAGTGAGGCCCGCAATGTGGAAAAGTCACAGTAGGGGAGCTGAGTTTGACTGCCAGGCAGCGTGATCAGGGCACTAGTTAAGCCCCCTCCCTATGCAGGGACCCACCCCTGGCCAATGATACATCTGTAGACCAGGACTCCCAGCTCACAGAGCTGCTCACAAACACAGGAGACAAGCACACATGCTCTCCCTAGTGCTCACATGTGTGAACACAGATGCGATGGCTAGGCACACACAACCACACAACGTGCCTTGTACTGTGGGCCCCTCTCATACACCACACACTGGCCGCCACAGGTACCTCTGCCACCTCCTAGGCCCAGCTGGCTGACGGGTGCCCCTTACCTCTTCATAGAGGCGCTTCAGGAAGCTTAACTCCTGCTGTAGGGCCTCCCCATTGGCCTCCAGGTCTGATTTCCGCAGGTAGGCACAGTCCACGTCCTGGGGTGGAGCAAGGAAGAGTAGCGTGCACATGGGAGGAGGCACAGGAAGGCACTCAGGCCAGCGTGGTGATGGCGCCACACGCTGGAGATGGCACTGATGGATCCCCTCCTCCCTTCCCTGCAACCAGCCCCCTTACCTTCTTTAGAACCACGGACTCATTTTCTGCTGTGGCTCTCAGAGCTACCTCCTCTTCATACCTGGGTGTGGGAGAGAAGGGCTGGAGCTGAGAGGATGGAACTTAAACTCCATCACAGCGCCTGGCCAAGTTCTTTCAGGGTTTGAGAAGGGATAACCTTTTCCAGGTGTCATCTTGATTTCTCCATCATCTAGTTGTGCATCATTCACAGGCTAGCCCTCCTCTCAGCCAGGCTTCACACCTCCCAGTTCTTCTGTGACTGGGATGAGATCAGAAGTGTGCTCTCCACTCCCTAGGCCTAGTGTCACCTGTGTATCCTAGAGCCAAGCAGTGCGAGTGCCATGGGTGGGGAAGGCACAGAACTGACTACGGAGTGAGCAAAGGGTAGGGAGTAGAGACAGACAGGACTCTGCTGGGCTCCTTTTCTCACTCTGAACACTACTTCCAAGAGTCACAGGACCTCTGAGGGCTATAGGGGAGCCCAGGGATCAGAGGAGACCTAGATCCCAGTGGACAGCTCCTCTGGGTCCCTGGCAGCTTGGTTAAAGACTGGGCAGACCTTCCCAGCTTCTCCCGGGTGACACACTCACTTCTTCTTGAAGCCCTCCAGGACCTCTTGCACGTGGTTGAGCTCTGCGGCCAGCCTCCCGCCGTCGGCCTCCACACACTCGGCCTCCCGCCTCAGCGTCTGGATGTAGCCCTCGAACAGAGGCTCCAGGTTGCTCTGACAGCACTCACGGTTCTGGTAGAACTGCAACTTGGTCTCCAGCAGCTTGTTCTGCTGCTCCAGGAAGCGCACCTGAGCATGGGGATGGAGGAGAGGAGGTGTCTGGTTTCTTGGATGCTAGCTGAACAGAGCTAACATGGGGTTGAGAGTTTAAGGTCCAAGGGATCCCATTCCCAGCCTCCAGGGAGGCAGTTGTGACTATGAAGGAAAGTGACACAGGCTTAGCTGAAAGTGACACAGGCTTAACCTCTTGGTATGAGGTTTTGCCATTTCTAAATTGGAGATAACTGTGATAGAGTTGTTGGGAAGACAAAGCCAATTAATACATGTAAAGGGCCTAGAACAGCCCCTGACATGTAGTCAGTCAATTAAACTACTATAATTACCAGTTATCCTTCATTTATTCATTCATGCAATAAACTCATTGACTATTCACATACATCTGTGTCTAGGTCTACATCTGAAACATCTTTCTGTAGATTTCATCTACCACGATCCTATGGGGGTTAGATATTACTTCTGCCATACTGCAGATGGGAAAATTGAGACTGCTGAGGTATGACATGAGCAGCTCACGGTAAGCGATAGAGTAAGGATCTCACTTCCCTCGAGTCTCTGTCTGCTGCCTTTCCATGCCCACACTACATGTCTGAACAGCTCGTGTAAACTCAGCTCCAATTTACTCTTTGGAAAAATGGAGGTAATAGCATCTACCCCACTGGGTCATTCTGAGGATTAACTAAGATCACTAACGAAAAAGTGATAACAGGATGACGGTTACACTCTCGGTCCCCAGATTCCTGCTCCCAAAAGTCTGGTCCTTTTCCTCTTCCCAGACCTACTTGGGAGGCAGCCTCCCAGCCGTGGGGCTAATCTTCCTGGCCACATCCCAGCCCTCCATCCATATAGAGGTTCCCAAGCCTGGGTTGGCTGTCCACCTCTTCATCCACTCCTGTCTTTGGAAAATAATTTCATCTATCATTTACTGAGGGCTGTTATTTGCTGGCACATTCCATGCACAAGCTCATTAACCCTCAGCACAAGCTGCTGAGGTAGGTCCTGCTGTCCAGAGGTACAGCCTGCCTGGAGTCTCCCTGTTGAGGGGCTCAGCAAGGACTTGGGAAGCAGTGTACCCAGAGCCCAATCCCCACACTTCTGTGGCCGTGGCGCCTCTTGTTCTGTTAATTTTCACTCTTCCCACAGTGTTCAGTCCTGTTCCCTGGGGACAGCTCTGTCCCTGCTGTGTGCTCTTGTCTGCTGAAGCGCACGCACCCTTTATGCCAAAGACTCAATTTCTAGGCCATGCCTGGACCTCCACAAACTTAGCTGAAGTTAAATGATGACAGTCATCTTCCTGTTCATACTGGTCTGCATTTCCTCCCTCTGCTCTCTCAGAACTGGCAGCCAGCCAGCCCGTCTCCCCAATGGACCAGGGCCTTTTCTAAGGCAGGCCGGGCTGAGGTCTTCTCTGGACCATCTCGGTCTCACTGACCTTGTCGATGAAGGCAGCGAACCTACTGTTGAGGCACTTGATCTGCTCCTTCTCCTCGTGCTTCACGCACTGCGCGTTGGGGTCGATGTCCAGGTTGAGGGGCGTGAGGAGGCTCTCGTTGATGGACACGCTCGTGATGCAGGGCGGGCTGGGGCCGCAGACTCCGCCTGAGCGGTAGCCAAAGCTGCGTCCACAGGAGCCGCTGCGGAAGCCCCCAACAGCCATGCGGGGCCCACAGGACCCCGGGTTACAGAGGCTGCGGCTGCTGAAGCCTGGCATTCCCCTATAGCAGGACACTCCTCGGTAGGGGGCGGCGGTGATGCAGCACCGGTTGCCTGTTCTGGGGGCCACAGCCGAGCAGGAGCTGAAGTTCCTGGTGACTCCACATCCTGAGCTGATTCTGTAGGAGCGGCAGGACATCCTGTGAATCTGAGCAGAGTCGGAGAAGTCGCAAAGATTGATGTGGGCTGCGGAGTGTGAGGCTTAGGAGTCTCTTGGTCTGGTCTCTCTGATCCTCCTGGGTCCTTTTATTGGTGGGGAGAGCTGGGGTTGGCTGCATAAAAGGAGTGAAAAGGCATTTTATGTTGTTTATTGGCTTGGGGAGCTAGCCAGCAACTCCCAAAGACTCGTCTTAAAGGTGAGCTCAGCAGTGAGTTGGGCTCCGTAAAAGTATTGAAGATGTTATTAGGGACGTTGTGCTTTTGCACTTTTCATCTTCAAAGCTCGTTTACACATATGAAGTAATTAATTTTCTTACAGTCTCTCTGTGAAATGGCCTCAACCCACACTTGGAGACAGATTTGAACTCCACAACAATCTGGAGGTGGGTGGATTTGGGATACTGGTGAAGGCCACTATCTCATGGGAGAGGTTCTGGGGTCCTAGGTTGGGTGAACCTTGGGAAATGATTGCTTCTACCTACCTGGCTCCTTGTAGGGTGTAGTCTCAAGTATATCACTGTCTCTTGCCCCGGCCCGCGGGGTCAGTAATCAGCAGAGCTCGAGAAGGGGAGATATCTGGAAATGGGACAAGAGAGGCGCAGAGAGAAGGAGACCGAGCAAAGAGTTGTCAAGGTCTCATTTATTTGCAGTCACAAGCAGTATATAAAGGCAAAACCCACAAATTTTGTAAGAGGAAGTGGTTACTCACAAGCTGATAAGGGAGAAACATATTGTACAGTAACAGTCATGATGAGATACAGTTGTTATGTAACAGCTTAGGTCATTAAATGAGCAAGGCCATTAGTGCAGTCATCAGCACATCTGTGCCAGTGAGGAGACTCAGATGTATACATGGAGGTGGTTATGTTAGGCTCAGAAACAACTCTGAGAGTATGAATATTTGGTCTCCTACAGTCTCTAGCTGATAGATTAATAGTGTCACAGGTATCCAGGCAGCGTGGACCTGAAGGTGGTTCAGAGGGGCCATCTGGTCATGCCTTTTTCCAGAAGCATGGAACAGATGATCATTTGAAACTTTCTAGAGTTCAGCACAGAGGGCTCTGTTCCATTTCTCATCCAGCAAAAGTACGAACCACTCAACTTTCAGTGGTCACAATAATGACCACTTGTGGGAAGTGAGGAGACTTCCTTTCAGCCACTTCCTTTCATGTGACCAGAATGATTGGAGAAACCCATCTTAAGCTTGCTCTGGGCACCTTCCCTTTGTTCTTTAGGAAGAAACAGGTTCTGTCAGTCTTTCCTTCTGTCGATACCCCAGAGGAGTTAGTTCATTCTTCTTGCCAGCCCAGAACTGTCACATTAAAGGAATGTCCCGAGACTGCTCTACACAAGGTGGGAGTTTGATGGCGGCCCAGTCTTGCTGAGAAAGCTGTGATATCTGGCTCCTGAGGGCTCTAGGTGCCTCGGCCTTCTAATGACTCTACTTCCTTGTATGTCCTTGGGCCACTTGTTAGGATGACAATGCTATTCTATTCATATTTATTAAGCACAAACCATGAAAATTTCCCCAGGGAGGTTAGCCAGACACTTGAGGTGTCAAGGACTTAGGGAAAAAGAGTTAATGGTCTTCCTCGGATGGTGATTTCTCCTTCATGGAGGCTACCAGAACCAAAACTGCCACTAGTATTCTTCTGTGTCCTGTGGAAGGTGCTATGCATTAATTATGTCCTGGATCTGTCTTCTTTTCTGTGGCCAACCAGCCTCCAGTTTTCATCTAAGACCAGGCCAATCAAATTCTTTGTCACACCCCTTATTTGTTCTTCAGGGAAGATAGAGAGACTGTGGCAGTTGCTGTTGGTGGTAGGGAGGCCTCACTAGCTGGCCCTAGAAGATACTCATGGCAGGTTCATACATGGAGAAGCAGCTGGAGTTAGTAACTTGGGCAATGAATTCAAATTTGGAAGGCCTTGTTCAAGTGCCAGCTTGAACCTTTCCTGCTATGTGACTTTGAGGGAGGAAGTTCTTAACCTCTCTGAGCCTTCTTTTCCTTGACTATAAAGTGGGACTCATTCTCAACCTTCCAGGGTTGTCGGGAAGTTAAATAGATTAATACATGAGAAGGTGCTTTGGGAACCATAAGATTCTGTATAAGGAAAAGGACTATTGCTTCCTATTGGAAACATCCCTATTGCCCTGTCACACAGCAGAGAGCAGGCCTGTTCCTGCCTGCCTGTGGCCCTCACCTCTTCTGCACATTACAACTCCTTTACCCTTTCAAGTATTCCTTTAATGTTTTCCTTAGCCTGATTTCACTTGTATAAAAATTTTGAGGGGAGCCTGGGGTGGAGAGAGAATGCTGTATTGGGGGAGCACAGGAAATAACTACTAGGTCCCACCCTAGGTGGGGGCCCTGCTGTCTGGGGTGTGTTCTGGGCCTTTGGACAGTGAACTTGCTGACTGACTGCTGTGTGGACTGGAGTTGGTGTGCTGAGGGCCAGAGGGATTCACGAGGAGTGCAGGGCAAAGCTAGTGAGAGAGTGGGTCCTGGAATCCCCCTTTCAGTTTGCTGAGGATGAGGGAGCCAGACCATTTTTGCCTCTCCTTATGGGCAGCAGGGAGTGGAGACTTTGTCCCAGAAAGGATCTGTGTTAACTGCTTCCCTTTGCCCCAGAACATGTGTGTGCGAACACACACACACACACCCCACATATACCTCCTCCACTTGGAATGGGGCCTTGGAAAGGGGGTGGGCATTCAGGAGACATAAGGGCAGCCCCACTGTTTTCAGGTACTGGAGCAGGGCTGAAAGACTGGAACAAGGATGTACCCAGCTGTGAGGGTGTGTGGGGAGTGGGGACACACTGGCCCTGTACCCCAGGGTGCTCTGGCCATTGGGTAGAGTTTGCCTTGTTGCAGTGGTTGTGCTGAGTCCAGGGCTGGTTGAGTGCTCAGGACTGGCTGGCTGGCCATCCAGGCTGGGCTCAGGAAAAGAGCAGAGGGAGGCAGACTCCTCCTAGCTGGCCTCAGTTGGCCCAGAGCAAGTAAGAAACTCACAGGTCAGGTCAGTCGGGTGCAGCCATCCTGGAGATACCCAGGCCTTGCTGTGTTGTTCTATCCCAGGGAGGCACAGACGCGATCTCTGCCCGTCGCCCAACTGCTGGAGGGTGGTGAGGCTCTTCCAGAGGCTGGATGAAAGCTCCTGTCACTAGCCTCATCCTCACTTACTGCCCATTTGCACCCTTTGATTTCCTGCACTGTACCACTCCCTCTCCCTCGTCACACCTCGTCACACCTTTGCCTGAAATGCCCCAGAACAGCCCCTCCTCCAGGAAGCCTCGTGAACTGGTCTTCGGGAAGCTGTGATTTCTCCTCCTTAGTGCCTCTGAAACATCCTCTCTGGCGCTTCCCCAGTACTCCCAATGATCTTCTTTTTCATGCCCTTGTCTTAGGTGCTGTCACTCATCACCTGTCGTCCTGTCCCCTGATGGCCCCACACCTTTGGAGGCCTCATCCACTGTCAGGATGTCTACTCAGGAATCCATGACTCTTCCGTAACTTAAAATACTCCCAGAAGGCCACTTCCAGGTGATCTCCAAGAGCTAGCTGGGAGTTTCCCTGTCCACCCTGGATCCCCAGGTGACTTCTAAGACTCCTTCTGGGTCTGCCCCACTCCACCGAGCACACACCCTGGGTTTCTGAGGCTGCATCACTCACAGTGCAGCCCACTCAGGATCCGTCTGCCCCCTTTGTTTGGTCCATGCTGCGATGCCTTTGGATAGTTTGCTCTTCTCACAACAGGATCCCTACTTCCTTCCCTCCTGTTCTTCCTCTCATGCTAGTCAGTGTCCTTGCTTCCAGTAAGACTTCCCAGATGGGTTAACAGGCAGGAGAGCTGTGTCTGTCCCTAGCTGGCCACTGACCTTCTCTGTTTTGTATTTGTATCTGTCTAGGCTTTTACAAGCCCTCCTAGAAGGCTGTACTGAGTCAACCCTGATGGCTCCCCACAAACAAGGCCTGTCCCGAGCAGGGCCTTGGTGCCTGCCCACACAGCCCATTGGTATTGGGCATGGTCCTTCAATTCTCCTGGCCACACTTTCATCATGCACCCAGATCCACACCACTTGCCCATGTTGGGACTCTGCTCTTGAAGAGACTTCTGAGCCCCATGATCTTTTCTTTGGTTTTTACAGGCTGGGGCATGATTCAGAGATCCTGCGTGGGAGGAACGAAGGTTGGACAATAGGGGGCAGCAGGATGAACAACTGTCCTCTCCCCAGGCATCCAAGCTGCCCCCTGGCCGTTTCACCTTTCTTCTTATAGTCTCCCCACCAGTATAGGAAACTATACTCCACTCCTGAACTCTGTCCACACAGCTTCCTGTGGCAGTTTCCCTGGTGGCTTTGCAGTTTCTGTGGCTACTCTGGGTCAGAGCAGACATTTGGTCAACACAGAGCTGCTCATTTCAGAGTGGACTGTATTCATGGTTTTGAAAATACTCTTCTTGTCTTTTTAGCAAAAGAACCCATTTCCCTTAGGAGCAAAACAACTTCACAAAGCTATAAAATTGTTCCCGAGTATCTATGGGGACTGGTTCCAAAACCCCCAAATCCAATGATGCTCATGTCCCTTGTATTCAGTGGCATAATATTTGCATATAATTTACACAATCTTCCTATATACTTGAATTCATCTCTAGATTATTTATCGTATCTGGTACAATATAAATCTATGTAATAGTATTTACACTGTATTCTTTAGAGGATAACATGAGAAAAAAGTCTGTAATACTCAGTACAGACACAATTTTTCCCCTGTGCCTGTGGTTAAATCCATGGGTGTGAAGCCATGGGTGACTGAAGGTGATGGTATATTTATCTTTGTATTTGGTTATGGAACAGATGAGATTGCCACACTAGTCGCTTTGCTTGTTGCTTGCCCTGTACCTGCTACACTGCATTCCCAGCACAGGAAAGTGATCTGGTAACACATTAAGTTGGGTTGCTCCAATGCCCAGTGACTTCAGAGCTCCAGCATCAGCATATGAGGCCTTGCTTTGCTTTTCCCTGTTGCTACTTCCTTCACCTGGTCTCTTTCCTCTAGTTTCCTGCTCTCAGCAGCCTTGGTACTCCTTGATCACATCAGACACACTCCTGTCTCAGGGCCTTTGCCCTGTGGTCCCTTCTGCCTCATGTCCCCCTCTCATCCACGTGACTTACTGTATTGTCTCCTGAAGGTCTCTCTTTAATATCATCTCTCTGACCCTTCTTGTGAAATTGGAAACCTACCTTCCCACCCTGGGACATTCTATGTCTGGCTTATTGTACCATTATATCTTTCTTTCCTTCTTTTTTGTGTTTTTGAGTCAGTGTCTCACTATGTAGTTAAATGATCTGGAACTCACTGTGTAGCCCAGACTGGTCTTGAACTCACAGTGATCCTCCTGCCTCAGACTCCCATGTGCTGAGATTACAAGCATATGCCACCAGGCACAGCCCATTATATATTTCTTTTTTTTTAATTTTATTGAGTTTATTGGTACATTTTAGGGATACAGTACAGTTAAATGTAGTTAAGATCTGGAACTCACTGTGTAGCCCAGACTGGTCTTGAACTCACAGTGATCCTCCTGCCTCAGACTCCCATGTGCTGAGATTAC